TCCCCCAACCTGATCAAAGTAGATCAAAGACTGAAACAAACTGCAGGATTGAGAAATCAAATCTCTGAGAGAGCAGAGCAGGTGATTTTCAAATGACTGTCCATGAATAGGGACTTTAATTCTGACTTAAAACTGATTCAACAATGAGCAGAATACCAGATTTGGTTACTCTTTGGAAAAACAATTATATGTATCGTATTGATTCACAATAATCATAATATTTTAGCTATGTTGAAATTATCGTTCCAGTTAGATTTTATTGTTAATCTTACATTATGCCATTAATTAATTTTTTACTGTATATATACATAGATTGCTCTGTCTATAATTAGCCTCTTAATATGCATTATAGTGTGTTAGTTAGTTATTATTACATTTTAAAAATCTAGCCAATACTGTATATTTTAGATTTTTCAGGATGGTTAAATATAAAGGGATGAGGATGTGAGGAAAGGGGGCAGCAGCAGAAGAGCAGGGGGTAGCTCAGAGAGCAGAATGCCAATGACAGGATTAGAGGCCATATGGGCGTCAGGCACCATCTGTACTGTGGGAGCGACAGGGAGAGGGTTAATTATAGGGCAGCCTCTGCTCCCCAAACACACCAAGTCCCCCCCTGACTTGTCCAGAAGACCCTAATCACTGCACCACACAACCCTCCTGCTGCCTGTCTGTGTATACAATAGGCGCTAGTGCTTTTTACTAATGGATGAAACCAAACACCTGTATTCATTTGAAAGATAATAGAGTGCCATAGGGATGACGTATTTTCATAGGCCAACCCAGAAGTTAGCAACAACCAGGTTCCCTTGACAAAAAGTCAATGAGATTTTTCCATAGGCTTTTGATTATTGCAGACAATAAGCTCTGTGACAAACAGTGGTATACTGTGCTTACGTGTTTTGTTCAGCAAGATAATTGTCACAGATGAGCACTAAATTTATGATTTTTGAAGCCCGAATATGCTCACCAGAAGTAAAAAGCTATTGTTTGCCTATAAACCAACTACACCACGGTCCCATGAGCATAACATCACCACCGCGGCTTCTGATGTCCAACTCACTCAGTTCTTTTACAAAATCCTTTCTTCTTAGAGTGAACTGATCTAGCTAGTGATCATGGCTGTGTCAGTTAGTTAGAAGAGATTGCAAGTGCACATGTTTACACATAATGAGGATGTAAAGGCAGACTTGTGAGTCTCCATGTTTGACCATGACATTTATTATCCCAGACAGCCTCTGTAGTCTCATTTAGCCACTTCTTAGCAACCGCCTTTTTCAAAACACGTAAAAGCATTAAAGATCATGAGTGGGGTATTTTCTAATGTATTTTATATTGAGGAACAAATCGTGAAAATGTATCGGCCTTGTGTTAACCACAGACCTTATTTCAGGCGTCTAATCAAAACCCCATTAAAAAATCCCATAGATTTCAGGGGGTGGGAACCGGAAGTGCAAAACTGCTGACTCAGTTCCGGGTTTTAGGGCTCACTGCTAGGGGACTCTCTATGCAAGTCTTTTTAATTTGCATCACAGGTTTGTTTGTGTCTGGTCAATAAGCAACTTGCTAAAATATTTCTCTTCAAAAATCCTTGAACATTTCATTCATAATCACACCAACACATTTGCCTTTAAACAATGTATGTGTGTGTGTGTGTGTGTGTGTGTGTGTGTGTGAACAGTGTGTTTATAAGTTGTCAAGGATCCTGCAAGTCTTGTGATGCAGTTACATTGTTTGCTGTTTGCCAGTAGAGCTGTTCTCCCCCAGAGGACAGAGACAAAGGAAAGAGGCAGGAAAGGGAGGGCAGCTCAGCCTATTTGAGACAACACTCACTCTGTCTCTTCATCACACACAAACACAGCTCTCCCAACAATGCATTGAACTGGACTATCTATCACACATGTCTTCCCATGATTCCATAAACATAAAAATAATAATATGTGCATGGCTTTTACAACCCATCAGATACTCCTCTATACTAAATATGAAATGTTCAAAAAGTAACCCACCAGAAAACCATAAGGGATATAAACACAGAGGCATCAAAAATGGCCAAGCACTAATTAAGCCACTGGTGATTTCAGGAAAATATATCAACAGGGCAATGTTTTTTCAGTGCAAAACAAAGCTGACACTGAGGTTGTTAACTGATGATTGGGTTGGGTAATGGTCACAGTCATCGCTTTGTGTCTGTGACTGTCTCAGTGTGGCTTAGCTTTAGCTTAAAGGCACTGATTAAGTCCACAGATAGCAAAGAGAGAGTTGGATCTGTGAGGGTAGTAAGGAGAAAGAAATCAGTGGAAACCAAAATGAAGCCTATTTGCTGGGCATAAACTGAGAATTCAATCCAATTTCATTTGGTCTTTCTAACATGTTCCTTTAACTTGAAGTCTTTCTTTATCTTTGCTTTAAACCCTCTGAGACAGATGTGACTGAGGTTTATTAATACAAAACACTTATTATTTTATATGGGTGTTGTAGGTATCATATGCCCGACCAAGCTCAGCTTCGATTCGTGATGCCAACCTTTATGTGAGTGGACTCCCTAAGACCATGAGCCAGAAAGACATGGAACAGCTGTTCTCCCAGTACGGTCGCATCATCACATCCCGAATTCTAGTGGATCAAGTTACAGGTATAGCCTTATTTCACTTCTCATGCTGTCACTCAATTTATGTCATCCGCAGTCAGGCCAGCGAGACTTGTAGGTACAACAACTACAGTTGTTGACGCCAAGGTAGTAACACTGGTCTGTTTTCTTATTCGGAGCAGGCATATCACGAGGAGTGGGCTTCATCCGGTTTGACAAACGCAATGAAGCTGAGGAGGCCATTAAAGGTCTGAATGGACAAAAGCCTTTGGGTGCTGCTGAGCCCATCACTGTCAAGTTTGCCAACAACCCCAGCCAGAAGACAGGCCAGGCCTTACTGACACAGCTGTACCAGACTGCTGCCCGCCGTTACACAGGGCCCCTGCATCACCAGACTCAGCGTTTCAGGTACTGAACCTTTACCAACCTCACACCACCTGAGAGTCCATCACTAACCAACAGACAGTCTGTAAAAAGGTACTGCTTCAAGACCAAGTCACAGGTTACCCTGCTTTGTTGTAAATTCTATATCCCACAAATTTAAATTTACAGGTGCTAAGTGTGTGAACACTGCATTGTTTTAGAATAACCTGGCACATCTTTTCTTTACTGATTGAGTAGTAGAAGTCAAGTCTGTCTTTTTTTGACAATTACCAAGGCTCAACTATACCAAAGAATAGCAGTGAGTGAAAAAAAAACTACACCAGGTGAGGTGGCACACCCTAAAAACAGCAAATGTTGTCTAGTTCTATAATGAAGAAAATTCTGTAATCGAAAACAAAACAAAAAATTACTTCTATATTAACACAACTTATTAATAAACTCTTCCTTTACACAATATTATTTTTTATCATACAGAAGGAATTACTAATATAGCATTGTCCCTCCTTCTGACTCTTTCTCTCTGACTTTCTTTTAAACTGCAGCATGATCCCTTCACTTGGAAAGGGACCCGATCCAAATAACAGCTCAAAAACAATGTAAGAGACCAGATTTTCCCAAGTACAATCAAAAACTAAAGCTAAATTAAAATTTTGCTTTCGAAGAATCATACTAAGCCTTTTAGTATTGCCTATAGACAGTGTAATGATTGGAGGTGCCAAACTTTGGCCACATCTACATGGGTAATTATGAATGTCAACGTTTTCCTGTATCAAACTTTTTTATGGCAAACGAATACCATCTTTGGTATTCTTCAGAACAAAGTCAAAAAATTGTAGCTGCCTGCACAGGTTGGAATACTCACTTAGTAATTATTGATACTTTTTAATTACTTGATGTGAAATTACATTTTTAATTGCTAGATGTGAAATGACCTAGGACACATAATTTGTATATCTTTCATTTGAACTATTAAAGGGGAACCTATTTTGGAGCTTAAACAACTGAACTCACAATAACAATAAAGACCAAATGAGACACATATTCACAGGACTATTTGACAAGCCATCAGTTTGTGATTGGATGATTTGGGACTGCAGTGCAGTGAAGGATGCCCTCTGGAGGCCAGCTGGAGAAGGACCTACATGTTAACTGACAGTCCCCCTTCCTTGTAGATCTCACAACTAACTTCTGCATCCCCTTCATTCTCCCTCTTGCGTTGCAGACTCGACAATTTACTAAACGCCAGCTACGGAGTCAAGAGGTAAATGCCCAAGGTGTACTTTCAAAAGCATCCATACCAAAATAAAACCTCAAACAAAGTGCCCGGAATACCACCTGCTGACTTCATCTCAAAATCAGATATAGTAGCCATAATTTTTAAAACCCACTGCCCATATTAACCATGTTACAGAAGCAGCCCAGACAAGAAAAGATTATTTGTAATTGCAATAAGCGATAATGCAGCCTTCTAACAGCAGGGTATTCTGGCATGGCTTTGTTTAACCTTTTTATGTTTGTTTGTTTGTTTTAATTAATAGAAATAATTTGTATGCATTTATTTATGAACTAACATTGTCAGTTTCAGTTGCTTTAATGTCCCTTTTTTCACCAGCATGGACATACCAGATTCCGTTTGCGTCTCCTCTGTTTGCTCCAGTTTTTGTATGATTTGATTCCAATTTGCTTTTCATCCCTCTCTAGGTTTCTGTGTTTTGTTCAATACTGTGATTTTTGTTGAACATTGTGATTCATGTAATTAATTCTTTCAGAGGCTTTGGTCAGCAGAGAAAATGAGATTACATGCAGAATGTGTGGGTGTCTGTGTCTCAGGGCACATTGTCATTTTGTATAGGCAGTCTGAAGCCACTGTGGTGCCCACACATATTTATCTGCTTACTGTACAGCAGAGGTGATGGAGATGGGGTCCCCCGACTCCATACCCGACTACAAGCTTTATCATTTTCCACAGAAAAATGCCCATAGGAGATAGTATAAAGCACTGAATGCTGTGTGGAACTTCAGAATGACACCCATGGTAGTTCTCCTACTCTCTTCCCTAGATTCTCACCCATCACCATTGACAGCATGACCAGCCTGGCTGGAGTCAACCTTACTGGCCCAACTGGAGCCGGCTGGTGCATCTTTGTGTACAACCTGTCCCCTGAGGCGGACGAGAGTGTCCTGTGGCAGCTCTTTGGGCCTTTCGGCGCAGTCACTAACGTCAAGGTCATCCGTGACTTCACCACCAACAAATGTAAGGGCTTCGGCTTTGTCACCATGACCAACTATGATGAAGCGGCCATGGCCATTGCTAGCCTTAATGGCTACCGCCTGGGTGACCGCGTGCTGCAGGTTTCCTTCAAGACCAGCAAGCAGCACAAGGCCTGAGAGAGAGGCTGCTGGTACCAGCTGCTTTGACCTGCAGGGAGAGCAACCTAAGCTCCCTGTGCCATCACTCTACATGGGCCTGGACTGAGTCTCTCTTTGACACATTCTCACAAAAACTCATATTATATTAGCAGAAACACAAACATGCAGATACAAATGTACACACACATACATAGCCAAATGTCTTCATACGCAAGCATACAAAAGTCAGAGTTTCAAACAAACACACTAGTGGAGTTTTTCTTTTCTCTTCACACAACATGCTAGTCCTTCCCTATATTTGCCTGGATTGAATTAGAAGGGGGTATGTAGCTGGTAGGGGTAAGAGCTATCTATTTAGGAGACAGTCTAATGAATGTGACAGGGAATGTGCACTGAGTGCTTTGATTGAATTCAGGCAAATAATGACAACTGATGAACAAAACGATCAAAAATTTAAATGAACAAATATGTGCAATTTATCCAAACTCTTACCCCACCATCTCTCCCGTTATCTTTCAGGAGAGGATGTAGACACTTTTTTACACTTGGGCATTTTGAATCAGCGATTTTTTTAGATCAAAGAAAATGAAATTTAAAAACAGTGTTCTCTTATATACATCTATTAAAATATAACTATATATTCAATATTTAAGGTGGTTATAATAGCCGAGTATGTAAGCATTTTCTAGAAACTTTGACTACTGTTTCCTGACCTGCATTAGGTGGTGCCTAGCATAAAGGCAGTTTCTCTACCCTGTGTGAGCTTGTTAGCTCAGACCCAGTAGGGTTTAGGTTAATTAAAGAACACTAGTCACAGAAAAGTAGTCTGAAGGCCATCAGAATCACTCTTTTCCTCAATGTCACGCTGAATAACACAATCGTATACTTGTGTATCACAGAAACACAGTTCAGTAACTAGATTTATACATTTAAACCACAAAAACAAACAAATAGTTCCTGTACTCTTTCTAATATATCCTCAAAATGGATTCAACACAAGCAGACCGTTTGTGAACTTAGAGCAGAGTGGCAGTGCTCCCATGGTGACAGTGTTCATTAGTAATTCTCTTGTGGGCAGTGAGTGACAAGTGCGAGGGGAAAAATGTTTCACCATAATACAGCCACGCCAAAGGAAAATACCGGTGTTTTTTCACTTTTTGCATCATTTTTTTTTTTTTTTATTGCACCTGTATTTTATGTTATCCATAGGCCATTTTGCATTGCACAGCTCTGTCAACCATGATTTGGTGTAAGATCCTTTTAACTGAAAGGTCATTTGGTGTCAAGAGGTCAAGAAAGGAAGCAAAACAAGATGTGGAAGACAACTAAATTATGCTGTACTTGCTGATAGGTTACTGTAAGGCAGGCTACGTCTTCAAATTTACATAGAAATAAATAAATAAAAGCTGAAAATGTAATCATTTCAATATGATTATGATCCAAGTAGCTGGAAAAAATGAAAGAAAAGTCAAACAATACACCCATGGACTGATCTGTTTAGGCAGGTCTGCAGTGAAAGAGCACAGATGAGCAAAAATTCAAGAGCACCGGTATTATTCTTTAGTCTAGTGCCCAGTGAGAAGTTCTCCGAATAAATGAGGTCAAAGTTTAGCATTTCAGCAGAATACATGTGCTTTGCAATAACAACATGCACAGAGCAGATTAAAAGGACTGCAGTTCTTAATAGCTAAAAACATTTAAACCTGATTTAGAGTCACACATGTGAGCAACGATACCTGGCAGCATTAAAAATATCACTGATCCCCTCAGGAGAAAAAGAACCAGTGACTCCAGTTTTGCCAAATGCTCCTCAGTTTTATTTAAAATCCCTCTACTCTCAAACTTTGAACTCCTGCCCTCCCAAAAGATGACTGTACAACATCAAGCCTGCAAATTAAGTATCATCATTATAGTTCTGTTTACAACAGAAAGATATTTATTTATTTATTTGCTTCAGATCTGTTTGGCACTACCACAAAAATAGCTTTTCTCAAAATATCCCTAACCCAGTTGCATGAAAATTATTTATGGCACCCTTAATGAAACATTAAGGCCAGCCTGTTTAGCTGAAGTGTCTGTTATAGTCCATACTTAAGATTTACCGTGGGGAGAGCTAATGTCTTTCAATATCAAGACATCTGCACATGATAATAAATAAGGTCAACTATATTCAAGACATTTTTGCTTTTGCTTTTCTAAATGATGCTGTGTTAGCCAAAGAGGATGATCTCTTTGAAAGGATTACATTAGAGATAAATCTATTTTTATACATACAAAAGAACAAGACCTTGTGCTGAATTTTTACAGATTCTTAAGCTTGGAAAAATTGGGACATCACATGGCTTTATTTTAAACCCTCTGATCTTTGCAGAGCAAGAGGGAACAAGCATGCGGTGTATGGGTGGGGATTTAGAGAGGGGGTGAAAGAACACTGGGTGTTTCTCAAGTTTCTTATATGATCATTGCTACAGTATATATCCTTGGTTGACATGGAAGTCATTCTGGTCAATTGAGGACCAAGAGCATTCTAAGTCATATATATAGTCTCTGAGGAGCGAGGAGGCTGCTTGAGGAGCCATGACCGAAGTTACACGAGTCCATCCTTCATGGAAGTTTTTTATGAACCAACCCACCCCTTTATCAAAAATCTGTTGGCGACTGGACACTTCAGATGAAGGATAGGAGGAAAGAATGTGTCATTTGTTAATAACATATTTCTTCTCTCCTCATGTCTTCTTGCACTGTTTCCTCACATCATAAGTGGGTGGGACTAAGACACAAGGAAAGGATGCAAGTGAGGGAAATGACAACCCATATAAGAGACTTGAGAAACACCCATAGTACTCATACAAACTTAACCATTCAACATATCAAAATGATTGACACAAACTTTAAGAAATTTGTTGTAAAAAAGTCAAACTGAACAGTTGGGGGTATAACCTGACAGGCACATCTATACTTCTGAGTGCTTTAGACACACTTACATCTCATGTCATGAATTTGTGTACAGTGTTGCTTCAGTGGTGGTGCAGTGAAGTGAAGTTCTTTGACTTGAGAATCCCAGACAAAGCTGCAGTGAGACCAGCTCATCATCAAGCTGAAAAACTGAATAGCTGCTTGCAAATAAAAAGATAAAATGCAGATTCATAATGAACACTAGGCATGATTCTTTATGATGAGATTGATTTGATTTTTGCCAAAGAATTGTCTTGCAAGTCAGTACCAAGAAGGATAAATTAAGACTAACTATATTATTCAAGGAGTAATTGCTGTACAAATATGTTATTTATTGAATAAGGTCCCTCTACAATTTCAGTTATCATTAGTTTTGAATATCTAAGTTGCGCATATCAGTTTGCATTTGTAAATCCTAAAATCACTAAACTGTGCTAAAATAAAACATTTGCAAGCCGCCCCAAAAGGCATATCAAAATGCATCAGTTCACCTCTTGACAAAGGAAAAATCATATGCATCCATATCATATATTCCCCCCAACAATTATATCATCTGCTTTGTCTTGTTGCCAATTTAATCCTTTAGATCCATTAACATTGCACCACTTCGAATACCTACTCTGGCATCTTTCAGTCTGACTCATACTGTTTCATTCCCTGAAATACTCTGAATGATTGTTGCTGGTGTGTCCAGAGCTGACCACGTTAAGGACTAATCTAGCTATTTTGGGTCAAGCAATTTGCTAGGGATAGCACAGTAGGACCGAGCACTTGGACCAGTGATAGACGTTAGGAACAACCAAGATAACAGGCCGCGCTGAAATGCAGCTGGAGTTGTTTACTCAGCCATGTCCGATGTAGTACAGTCAACCCACAAACCAGCCCTGCAGCCCGAAGTCTTTCATACACAGCCTACACAAAGACCTACATCTAATGTACAGTAGAGAGCCAAGGACCATGGCAGGAAACAGTACTACACTGCTTGAGCAACAACAATAATCATTTAAAAAGACAAAAAAATTTTCCTATGGAACAGTAAGTGCAATGTGCTTTGTTTTTATATTGACTGAGAACAAATGATATATATTTTTTAAAAAAGAAATTAAACGTCACACTGAAAAGGTTTGTGGACTAGTGAAAGGAGTAAAAGTCTGGACAAAAACATTAAATAGAACAGGCTCGTTAAGAAAATCAAACAAACAATGAGAGCTCTGATCTACAGTATAAATTTCCATAATCACTTCCTCAGCCCCTAATTTATGCTCTGACCATGCAAGCTCAAACAAACTGCATATTTGGCTGACTTAATACAGCAATTTTCAGTGACCTTGAAAGGAGTACTGTCTAATATATCATCAGTTTTAGCCCATGTCAATTTCAAATATCATTTTTCCTGTAATTTATTGATTTTATTTATATATCAAGATTCACTTGTTAAATTAGCGTATTTGTGTTGTTGATGTTGCCATAGAAAACACACATGGGTCAAAGATTATGTTTGGTTGCATTGATTGGGTACAGTTTGTTATTTTTCTTCCATTATTTAATTAGTTCAAGTTTTTTACAGTGTATGCAGATTTTAGACTTAGTTAGATTTTTTTTATTTCAATCAAACTGTGTTCAATTGTGTTTGTAAAAGTCTGTGGTAGCTTTTGTTGCAACATAAAATAATTTAAACAGAAAAAATTCAAAATAGCGCCAACAAACTTGTATTATTTGGGCGACTTTAAGCTTGTAGTTTTAACTTATTGTTAACTTAAAAACTATTTATTATGATTATTGCCTCGTATAAAGTATGTTTTGTGTATATTTATGGTTTATTTCATTATATTTGCAAGTTTAAAAGATTTTAAGTTTGTCAAAATTGTGGTTACACCATTTCGTTTCTAAAAAGGGGGACAAATAGAAAAACAGCTTTAGAAGTACGATTTGGAAATGTTCTCCATAGTCAAAGAATGCACTGCTATATTTAACTAATTGAAGTGTATAAACATACATGCTGTGTGCTAGATGTTATGCCTTTACTGCCTGTGTTCTGTTTGTCTTGTTAAATGAAAATCTTTTAATTATTTAATCTAATCACAGTCTTGTTTTTCCAACCACTCAGCGAACCTGTGAGACACGGGACAGCCCCTGTAGCGAGGCTTTGGCCCATTTGAGGGTCAGGCAACTAGCCAGGAACAGAGGGATGTCCTAGGTTTGATATGCTATGAAGATGCTTTCCTGTGTATGTTGATGGATTTTATGGGGAAAAAAATTACATTAAGTGTTCTGTTTCTGTAAAAGCATTGCAATACTGAAATTATCTGTATCAACTGCAATATCAATTTGTGCTACTGAAACAAAAATGTTCTTTAGAAAACCAGCCAAGAGCTGTGGCAAAATGTCACAGAGCTCAGAAAAGCTGCAGGAAGGTTTTCTTGGGAGTCTCTAGGTTAGTAAAGGGGTGAGTGGTCCTTCTGTTTCTCAACCAACTGTATTTTGTGTCTATTTATTTAGAAGAGGGGATGCAGTAACTTAGTGATGTTTTTCTTACATTTTCCTGGAATGGTAGAACAAATCAAAGGTGAAAATGATCAAAACAGTTCTGCTGACACCGATATCAGTGGACAAAATCTCATACTTCCAAACATGACCAAATGAACAATGTCAAAATTTAATGAAGGAGAAAAAAAACAACCTTTCAGTTTAGTCTAGGATATTTATTACTGGGATTTCAGCTGAAGATGCTTGAAGACTTTTTCATGGAATTGTTTAATTATTTGTACTTTACATGCCAAAAAAATAAAAAATTAAAAAATAATATGAGTGACCAGTTTTTTGACTGTCAAAACAATATCATTAAATGAAGATATAAAATTTCAATTAATGGGTATTTTACAATTATGTATATACTTTATAATTATTAAATTAATGCTACATATTGTACTAAATTGTTTCAGAGCATGATAGAAAGCACTGAAGAAAATGTTCCTGCTTAAATCAATGATATGGGTACTTTTTTTAAATAAACATGGATCTTCCTAATGTATTATTTCATAGTATTCATGTTTTAGAAGTGCAATGGAATGTTGTAGAAGTGTTAAAGTGCACACAGTGTGCTTGGAAGCCACCAGATCTGTTATATCAAAATGGCTACAGGCTGTAATGACAAGATTAAAGACATTTCCAAGTCTGGACAATGATAAAACAGTGTTTATTTCAAAACAATGGAATGACACTACATTTGACAAGCAACCCCCACCCCTAAAACAGCAGGCAGAAGTAGGAACTGGAGGTATAGATGATACAACCGATTGGAATTTCCATCATTCTCAACAGTGCGGCTGTAGTGACGGTGGTCCCAGATGAAAAGCCTGCAAAAGGCCAAGAATACACATTTATTTCAATACCTTAAATGCTTAAGTCATAAACTCCTAGTTATTAATGGAAACTGGCAATTCAGCTGCAGTGAATCCCTGTAGGTTTCATTTTTGATGACTAAACATTTAGATTAGTGATGTATCATCTCTTGTGTTATTTTGGGTTTAGCAGTTATGTTGATTTAGGTTGATGACAGAGAACTCAAAGTCCCCGTGCTATCATTATCATAAAGCAAGAGCATAAACAGCTAAATCATAGCTTAAACCAATAAACTGAGAAAAGATAAATAAAAAGTTGGTCTTCTTATTCCCTGTTTATCTCAAGGGAGGATACAAATGATACTGTATCTATTCACAATACCTATAGCCACAGTGGTATCACCAAGAAAGCCATTTCTATAAATAATACTACTATATTGCAAACCATCACATTATCTGAGCAAAATCCATTAAATATTTATTCTAAAAGAAAGAACAACTCAATTACTATATTTCCTTAATTTATTATGAACTGCTTTCCATTCAACAGCACTTAAAAATAATAGTAAACTCTATTGTAAACATCAAACAAAGTTAAGATGTCTGGAGTAAAGGATGGATGCACTTCTTCACATGTAGAATGTGACAGTATAATGATGCCGTGTATAGGTGAATCAAATGCATACATCATTAATTGTTAGTCCTCTATCAACAATGACAAGGAACTCAAATGAAGCTGCCATTACCTTGCTGCCGTCCTGCTCTTCCTCTAATGGAAGCTGCCACTGACTGCTCAGGGAGTTTTCTTCACAACAAAATGTCCAAATGCTAAACATTCACATTATGCAGATCTGACTGTGGCTGGTTTTTAAATTCAGGTCGAGTAAGCACCGTTTAGAAAAGGCAATTAGTTGTTGAATGCAGTTGCAATATATTTTTGCTCTAAACTTGACTCTTCTATATACTCAGATCCTACTGGGGAAAAGACATGGTCCTGCAGAAAACCATGTTTTATGTGTCTTACACAGTACAGTGTGATTGTGTCTCAATTCATTTTTGAAGGCATAACATCAAACACAGAAACATCACTCACAAATTCAGTGGATCTAGAGCTCCTGATGCAGAACATGATCTGAACCCGGGCTTGGGGGCTCCTGGCAGATGGCAGGGCTGATGAACTCCATCAGGTACTCACAGCGCTGGGGCTCTGAGGTAGATGTCACAACTGTCTCCTTTCCACATGTTAACTTAACCTGAAAGACAAAGAATCTCTCATTTTTTATTTGTCTAATGAGAAACAATTGTCAGCAGTAAAATCAGGCACAGAAAGACATTAAGTCAGGACTGAATGCTGAGGTTTACCATGGTGGATCTGTTAGGCCCTTGCCAGCACCCTGTTCCATGTTCATACTTCATCATAGAGTAGATATTATCCTCAGGACCTGCCCATTTTCCCCATGTTCTACACAAAAAAAAAAAAGGCAAAAATGTACATGATGAGTCATGGGTACTTTAAAAGCTTCACAGACAAACACAAACAACATAATCTCTTACCCGAGGTTCGTTTCAGATCCACCATACTTGGATTTCTGGGATACTCTGTTGAACGGACAAAGCCTGTAGATGTACCTGAAAGCCACAGAGAAATGCAGTCCCTTAGAAGCAGAACTACCACATAATAATTAAATGAAGGTTTCCGCAAAAGTTGAGGAGTGTGCACATACTCGCTAGTAGTTAACTCATAACACTGGCTGTAGAGGTAGGCAAATTCAGCATTTGGTCCAAAGTCAAAAGAAATTTCCTTCTCGAGGTTTCTGCAGACAAAAAGCAAATCCAGTAGTGAATTTTATTTTGCAGTTTTCAACTAATAACACACTGAATGTGCAACAAAACTGCCCAGTATAACTACTGATTGCAGTTGTGGAAACACTGACTGCATTAATGGCAAAGAAGCTGCATCATATTCAGTGCTTACTTGATCTGATCATCCTTGTCGCGGAGAACTCTCTCAGCCTCATCAAACTCATCCCTGGCTTTCTGCGCAGCTGGGAATCAGATGCATGGAATTAAAATATACTCTCACAGACAACTCAGTCCACAGTCAAAAACATAAATGTGCTTACATACACACACACACACACACACACACAATAAGTATAAGATAAATCACCAAAATCTAGATCATCTCATCTATTAATGCTTTTATAAGCGACAAGCAACAGACCTCTGTCATATAAAAGCAACACAGCTGTTCAGTAAATCTTCTCATACACATTTATTTGTGCCAACAGGATGAGTGATGAGTTTCACGATCATGCATTCAAATTAATAGTTGTGCAGTCACATCTGTGCCTTTTTTGATGGCATGTTAGAGCATGACTCACTCGCTCATAGCGGAGGACTGGATGAGCCATTCAGTTTTATAGACACTTACCATCAATAAGGACCTGCGTCTCTTGGTCATAGGGTGGCATAGTCCCCTCATCATCGTCCTCCTTTTTTTCTTGAGTTTGCGCTGTAGGAGTTCTCTGCATATCAAACACATATAAGAGTGACTTACTAAATAAACCTGAGTGTCATCCAGCATAATTTTGATGGAGAAACTCAATGGGCATACCTTATAATCATCATCTGGGTCATCATCTTCGTCTTCTTCATCATCGTCGTCTTCATCCTCTGGGATGTCATCTTCAGGGTACGGCTCAGAATCATTGTCAGAGACTGGCTCCCTTATGTCCTCCTGTGACGTGTCCACCGGAGCTGGGGCGGCCTGATGCCAACAGAGTCACATGTTTAGATGCGCAGAGGCTTTTGCACAGGGTGTTTACTAAAATAAGAAAATGAACATGTTTTACCTCTGAAATGTATTTCTCTTTGATATTATCCCAAATACCCTCAAACGCTACTGTGTCGACTTTGTCCGCTCCTCCCAGTAGACCCTACACAAACCAAATTCAATGTTCACGTTTTAATTTGCTCATCTTTTTAAGTTGTGTAATTTTTTATTCATGCATTTAACAAGAACTACATTTTAACAGCAGTATTTTAATAAAAACAATACAAAAAGTAAACGTTTACCTGGGCCTCTTCTTCTGTGAATGAACCATCTGAATCTGGGTCAAGCTCTGAATGGGACAGAAGCTCAGCCACCGTGACGCTGTGACAAATACAAATATAATATTCACAGATTTAGATTAGATTCAACTTTGTCATTCAACTTTATTGTCATTACCCATATACAAATACAAGGCAACGAAATACAGTTTAGCATCTAACCAGAAGTGCAATAACAGCAGTGCAGAGTGCACAGTATCTACAGTATGTAAAGTCAGTACTAATTTACCGAAAGATATGTACAATTAATATTTACAGTAAGATATGCAAGGTAATGTAGTCAGTAAGGTCCACTAGAAACACACAACAAAGCAAACAAAAAACAACACTGATTTACTGTCACACCAATAATCAGACAGTGTGGATGAACAGCAAGAACCCAGTTTTCCACAGTTATCCTAAAGGTTTTTAGGACTGTTTAGCTGTCTTTATAGACACTGGTATTTTAAATTTCTGGAAGAAAGTATGCCCACCTCTGATGTCCTCAGAAGTTAGTCTTGGGAACACTGAAGTAAAGGACTAAAGGTATAATAAGAACAAAGTGAATCCAGTTTGACACAGCTATCCTAAAAGTCATGTAATTGCTGTTTTTAATGTGCATTTAATGTTTTAATCTAATCTGCATTCTAAGATTTTATCAATATAAGCATTTTAATGTTTTACCTGTGTGCATTGTGTTAAGCACTTTGAACTGCTTTTGTGTATGAAAATGTGCTATATAAATAAACTTGACTTTCCTAGATATGAAAAACACTGATATAAAAAAAATTCAAAGAGCCATGCTCATCTCTACCGCATGCTATTTGGTTTCAAGAGCTCCATGTGGCAGAAATTTGGATTTCTAATGAGGTGCAGAGCAACATAAACACGGTACCAGAATAACAAATTCTGCATTTTGACTTTGCACTACTTAATTTGATCTTGCTCTTAAAAAGTTGTCCCTGTTAAGTGTCACTACACTGTCAATCTTTCTTCATTAAGGGTGCTAATATTTCTGGAGGATGATGATACTCACAAGCCATCTACATCATCATCCAGTCCAAGAAACATCTCAGCCATTCTAGCCTTGTCCTTCTTCATGCGAATGCGATCTTTTTCATCTGAAACAAAAATAATATTTTACCTTGTGTTATCCTTGATTTAGATTACACATTTATTTAATTACAGTGTTTTTGCTTGTTTTGCCATGATTCAAAATTTCTGGTCAGAAGTATTTTGCTACACAACTTGTGTGTGTGTCATTCAGGCAAATAAAAATATAACACAATAGACTATACCATCTGTGCTATGATGCTCTGTACAAACAATTGATGTACTATACCTTCCCAGGCCTTTAGATGGCGCTCTTTAGCTTCTTTCTCTGGCTGTTCTGCAGTCTCTTTTACAGTTCTCAGAGCTTCCACCTTCTCTTCCAGATCCTTCTTACTGACCTGAAGATCTGAAAGTTTGGCCTGTTGAGACAGATTCAAATAATAGTAATAAATGAATACATAATCAAATAAGCTTTACCTGAAAACAGGAAACAATGCCTTAAAATGATCTGCATAAAAAAAGTGTCTGAAGTAACCACACTGAAAGCTACTGTACTGTCACAAAGGCAATAGGGAAGAATAACTACAGCGTTCCACCAATGACTTCACCATCCAGCTGGAAGGCCTGGCATCTTAAATTCTCTAAAATTAAATGTTTTTTTTTTTTTTAGAAGACATCAGATGGTCAGCACCTAGTTTGTGTGTGTGAACCAGGTCAATTCTGAGTGAGCAAGAAGGAGGATGTGTTCAGCTTAAGCTCACTCCCATTACTGCCTTGAGTTTTTTCTGTGCATGATAAGCAAAACTCAGAGCTCTGGATTTTGATTATTACACAAACCAATTGTGAAGGTTTTCCTGCCATTCACACCTTCTTATCTTCTAGGCCACTCTTGGCCTCATGAATAAGTTGCTGTTTAAGCAGAAAGCCCTCCTTAGCAATCTCAGCCATCTTGAGCAGGCTCTCCCTCTCTTTGCGTCCCAAATCCCTGCAAATCGCACACGGTGAAAAAAAGTACTTGTGAAAAGCAAAACATTCAGAAACTTGGGTGTGTAGCATATAGAAGATGCTCCAATGGGGAATTCAGGTTTAAGATTGTAAAGCATTTATAGAATTATAATTTTAAAACATTCTCACTTGCAGGTGTTCTGACAGACAGCACCACTGTTGTACTCATCTGTTGTGTCACAGCAGTCTGTAGAGAAAATGCAGATGTTAAATCTTGGCCATGTAGTAAACTTGAAAGGAACTAGTCAGCACAGTTTAAAATTCATACCACAGATTCCGTCATTGATGCGGGACGAGGGGATAAAAGTTGGTCGGAAACCTACATTGGTGCAGTGGAAGCTACCATTGGGACAAGCAGCAGTGCCTGCAAATAAGTGTTAAATTTACAAAAGGATAACCCAGCAACTATTCCATTTAATATTGTGCACTGAGGAAAACTGAATACAAGATCTACCTGGCTCATCAGAGCCATCTTGGCAGTCACAATAGTCATCATTCACTCTGTCAAATGAAATAGTGTGGGAGCCATCCAGACAAGTAAAAGATTTGCCCTCTTCATAGAACTGCAGTTCTGTCAGGTTGAAAAAAAGAAATGAATAATCAGCTCCAAAACTACAAAGAACTGATAACTGTCACTCAACAATGTATTCACGGAACTGTCTTATAGCTGAAATTACATAATAACTGCTTACTTGATAAAGGGACGCCGCGAGGGCGTTGAACTTCGACTGCAGAGACTCCCACACTAAGCAGCAACAGCAGCAGGAGGGACTGGCTGGACATGGCGGTGCAGTCACAAGGTGTTTCAGACTTTAGCGAGAATCGGATGCACCTGAACCGCCTTTATGAATCTTGCAGATGAATATGAATACAAGAAACACCGTGAGACCACTAAAGACATTCCGTGATAAGGTTCACAATAGTATCATATGTTAGTGAACATGAAGCATTTACGTTTTCTGTCACGTAGCTTGACAGAATACCATTTACATTACTTGTTGTTAGTTAGCCAAGAGCTAACAAATGAATGCTAACTGCTTTAGTTAAAACTTTAGCTACAAGCACAGCACAAACTAACATCTAATGGAAATGCCAACAATACAAATATCTTAACAATAACTATAACGAGCACCGAAGAGCAAAACAGAAGAAAACCTTGTACGTTTACCCTCTTAACAGAACAAGATAATGGATAATCATTACCAGTCGTTACAGCGCGTACTTCCGTGGCAACAAAGCGCATGCGTACATTTCCAACCCTTTTCTGTCTTGTTTCTCTGTGATTGGACGACGCTTTTGTCAAACTCTTCTGATTTGCAGAGAATCGTGACACCTGTCTAATGTGGAGGATTCTGGGTAACCTATACTTGAGGGTGCAGCCATCTCATCTAAGAGGGTAGATTTGTATGACTTCATGTAGTCATCACTCTTTACACTATTATCTTTATACTGTGTTTAATATTAGCATGAGCACAAATAACACCCATGTGGATAACTACTTTAAAACTGCCACGATCCTTCCGGTGCAAAACTTTTAGGCACTAAACGTAAAGTAGGGATGATTTTGATTTGTTTTGATTTGATTTATTCTTTCAAGCATGTAAAGCCAGTTGATATGTCAACACACATAATTTTACACATATCCAACAAATGCTAATCCAATATCAATCTGCTTATACCTAGTATATGCTTGAATGGAGTAGGAAGAAGTCAGACTTATCTAGTCCTACCCCATGACATCATCTTACATCATTGGTTTGCAAGCAGTATCTCTACATAAATAATTCTCTTCTACACCACACAAGTAATATACTAGAAAAATT